TATGAAATGAAAACAATATTCTAATCAAAACTTACCTAAAACTACTTGATATTATGCAGTGAAATTTGTATCTATGACTTTGTACTACAATTTAAAAAAATGTAATAGTGGTATACCAACGGAAAAAAAATTGCAAATATAAATTACAGGTAAACTGTAAGGCCAGTAACATGGCAGATAAATTGAAATTCCTAGAGTGACCGTTATTTTACTCACTAGTATAAAACATATGTTAAAACACATATAGTTCTATTAGTTCTGTTACCTGCGGTGCTTAGCGCTGCAATATTGTACTGGTTTTCGACCTTGAACATTCGACCTCACCAATGAAAACACAAAATAGATAATGGCGCATCATATATGCTGAAATGTACGATGTACGAGAATTTATCTATATAGTTTAATTTTGTTAAATCTTGTATTATTGTACATTATTTCATTTATATGCTGGAACGATTCGATCGACTAAAATATGGCTTTCACTTTCAGAACTAGTTTACCACCAGGCGCTGTCAGTGACGAACTCTAAATTTGTATAATCGAACGCTGTGTCACTCATCTAGTAATATAGCCACTGGGCTTGTACTCGATAATTGGTAATTTACAGTACTAAAAGTAACAATTACTGTGTATTTAGTATTAGTGATAGTATTTCTTCAGCAAACAATGTATGTAGAATGCATGTGAGCTATTGAGTAATGTTTCACTTGTTATAGTACATAAAATAAATTATTGCATACCTCAAATATAAGTGTTGTTATATTGTGGGGGTGCGGATGTTAGGTGTAGTTGTGCGTGGTATACTAAGTGATTGGATTTGTATTTGTAAACAGGTTTCAAGAGGTGAGTTTTTTTTTTAAATTTGTTTCATGGGGTGAATTATGGCCTCCCTGAGCGATTTTCACCAAAAGTTGGTGCTGTCACCAACTGACCTCCACTGATTGGCTAACTCCTATACACGACGCTCTCAGCTGAGTGTATGGTAATTGGTTTAAGACAGTGAGGGTTGGATTCGGTAACGGGCAGGCCGGGGAGTTCTGTCCAGAGTCTCGTAACGTGAACATCGTGGCTCGCAGTGTGGGGTTTGACAATAAATGAACCCTATATATGTCTGTCATTTATTACACGTTGATGGGGTTCAAACAGGTGGTACAAAGGTATTACTTGTAATGTATATATTCATGCTTGTATCTATGCTCATTTGTTAATCAATGCTACGTCATTGATAAGTCATGAATAAAGATTATCAGTCTTCAATATGACGTTAGGCCCGTAGCCAGCACTTTTGAATAGGGGGTTCGAAAACAACAATTATATTTTTGATGTGAAATGTGTGAATTTTATAATATTCAAAAAGTGTATTTGAGCTCTTATACAGACATTTTCATATTATCGGTTTTAAATTCAATTGATTTATTTTGTGTTACGTTGGTAAGATATTTCACATAACATCTTTGAATTATTTTACCATTTTAGAGAAGGGATCCTGAGCCATTCTCCACCTACAGACAAACGCATCCACACCATTGATCCACTACGGCAAAATGTTGTACACAAAAAAGACAAGACTGTACTTATCTTAGCATTATTGTCTAGGTAATTTAAGGTAGAAGGCTACTTACGAGTTTTTTCGCTCTTCGCAGATGTTAGCGCACATAAAAGTGGCACGATTTTACGTCGAAATCTGTCTACAATTATTCATTTTAGTATTAGTCAATTTTGTATTATGTAATTTTATTTCTGTACAGGGCCTCAGCCTATCGTACAAAATGTAATGGGTAGAAAAGTGCATAGCACGTTTTAAACACAATACAACATCCATGTAAACATATGGTACTAAGTTAAGCTGGATTCATATTCATCTCGTCGCTTGAAAACTTTTAAAAGATATAAGCTATTTGATATATGGTGTGCAGTTTGTGTAGCGACGAAGTAAGCCCAGACTGTCA